ATGTGCTAGTAAATATGCAAAATTGTCATTCATGGAGGACCTGTTTGAGTCCTGGGGCTGGTACATCGCAGCCTGATTATGCCAAACGCCCCTGAGCCTTCTTACAAGCCATCCTCCGTCCTCAGCTGGACAGAAAACTGTTAGGGGTAAAACAGTATTTCAGACTTTAATTTATTTAGTCTCCTACAGGCTGCAGGGTTTTGGACCTGTCTTTAAGGAAATTCCACCGATAATGCCTTTTTCTGGTACCACACGCAAGCATGTGTATTAAATCTGACCGATCGCTATGTATAAATAGCCCCAGCATTGAGCAACCTCTGTGACAACTTTTATAACCTAGCTGATCCAGATCTATATACTCAGAAGCCTGATAAGACAGCAAATATTTGGGGGCGGGGGTTGTTTTTTTCTGAGATTTTTTTACATCCTCTCACTCAAGTTTTAAAACTTTTTACATTGCTACTGTCTTGGGAATCCTGTGGTTACTCACAAAGTTTTTGAAAAGAAACATTTGTGCAGAAAGAGTCCACCAGCCTAGGAAAACAGTTTTAAGGATTTGTATTTTTTCAGTGCACAGACGTAAGTACAATTACCATTTATTTTGGAAAATTGCTTTAAATTACTTTGATTTTCTCCATTTTCATTTTAAAGCTCCGCTTTCCACAATCTTTCTGTTGCCTAAAATAGGTTGGTGATAATTAGACTCAAATTCTACACGTCTGTGTTCATGCCCAAGATCCAGATGGGCTGCAAGTGGCTACAGAAGCAGTTCTCAGGGTGGTGAATGCAAATCAAGTTTGGACAGCGCAAGCAAATGCCTCTCCCTCTCATATTCTGACTATTTATCACAGAGAGAGTAGGAGTTAGAAGTACTATGTAGATGCTCATTATGGATTTACGTGCATTATAAGGAACCTGCCAAGCATTCTGGCTGCTCGCATTTCTATTACCTCCCTTCAGCTGTGCCTATTATTGCATTGCTTTAAAACAGGAAGATCCTGACTTCTTGTGGACCGTGCCACAATCTATGCAATTGTATTAATTCAAGGAAATCTGCAACTGAGTCAAGTGTGGTAAGCAGCCATTTGCAAGTATGCTGTGTCTTCACCTGCTCTCTGTCTTAATCATATCAAGAACTAGGTGGAAAAAAATCAATGCATTGCTAGTAAAGAAGGCAAAGTAGAATTGACCAATGCCAGGTAGGTTACATGCTGTATAAATTACTGCTAATCTCCTTTCCCTAAATATATTTAGGCAAAGTACAGGATGCTCTTTTTAAAGTGACTTCTAATTTTCTACTCAGAGGTTATGCACTCGTATGCCTGTAATCAGCCAATTAGATGCACAGTTGCTTGAGCTATAGGCCCAGCATGTCACATTATCTGGAAGTATTGAGACATGGGTTGGCCTTTTTGTGTGTGTGTGTGTGTGGTTTTTTTCTTTTAATGAATTGCATGGAGCATATGTGGCAAACTCTGTGCTGCAGTCCATTAAGCAAAGTGTTCATGTGGGTTGTAAGAGCAAGCAGAGGTTAGCTTGTGCAACTTTGAAGTGCTAAGTGTTTAAACCAAACAGTAGCAAGTGATGGTGCAGCCAAAGTACTATAAAAATCGTGAGGAAGCCGCTATTGCAGGTAATCTCTTCTTTTTACTTCAACATTGTGGCGTTCTATCTTCCTTAAAATTTGCAGTATAAATCAGCTGAGTTCTTAGTATTACTCCTTAATATCAAAGATAGTTAATGAGGAAGTTCAGAAAAGCCTCCAGCTACTGTTCTTTGACATAGACACAGAAGCAGCTTCAACAGGGATAAGAGGAAGATCTCTGTTGGAAGTGATCATCCCGGGGTTATCCTGCCCGTGTGAGGTTTATAAGCGATACACTCCTGAATGAATGCAGGCAGACTGTACCAGCTCCTCTGTAAAATCTGATGTATAGCAACGTGTCAGCTGGTAATGATACTTGCTATCTGAGGTATCTCAGCAAATTACATTTTTTGTAACCTGAGAGATGGATTTTGTATTATGGGTTATGTTAGCAGAAGGAATAGGATTGTGACTTGGCACCACAAAGGAAATGTATCTCTTGCAGTTACACATGCTTGTCCCCAGGGCCTGAGGGTGGGTGGTATTTCGATTGGCGAGATCTTTCTTGTGAATCAGTGCAACTGTTTGTGCAATGAGATCCCGGTGAGTGAAAAGGGGTGGTAAAATCGGCCTTCCAGCATGTCAAAGCATGGGGAAAGCAGCAAAGAGCCAAGAGTTTTCCCTTTCAGATGCCAAATAAGCTTAATCTGTGGCATAAGAAACAAATCAACATTAACAGAGATGTCTCAACCATGAATTCCAACGTATGTCACCTTAAGTCTTGGCCATAGATCATTACATCCTAGATGATCTCATAGTATCATCAACTGATTTGATGAATTGTGTATTCTAGTAAAACTAGTTTAGCTTAGAGACAAAGACAAGATGACGTTATTTATGCCTGTCATCCTCTTGCTTGTAAGTAGAAAGAGACAACAACCGAAGTTATGTATCTGTTCGACACAACAGCCTAAGACCCAAGGCCAAATGACTTGGAATAACCTGAAACCTATCAGCAATTCATGGTTCTCTCAAAAAAATAGTACCTAGAATAACTGGTTATTTTGAATTCGAAAGCATCTCAGGTAGCCAAAGATAGAAGTTCTGCTGGTGCATTTAGTGGCAGTTATTTATCATGTGGTTTCGTATCTTCAGCAGACAATCAGAAAACTGCATTTGCGTCCAGAACGTTAGGACTATTTCATAATTATTATTAATCAGCACTCTTGTTACGAGCCCACTTCCTTTAGCCCTCAGTTAACAAAGCTTGCTGCTCCATCAAACTCTGTCATAATCAGCCTTATTATAAAAACATAATATTGTAACCCTCAAAGGCTCCCTCAGCTAGTGCTATAAAAACTGGGAATGAGCTGAAGTAATCTTTTGGCTAGCAGCACTTAAACTGGGAAAAATATTTTATGCATGTAATGTGTATGCTCCCTCCCCATCCTCTTCATGCTCTTCTCACCGGGACACGACCAGACCCTGGGACCCCTTTTGGAACCAAATTAACTCATCAGAGCGGAACAAGCTTACAACATAGCGTTTGCCACCTATTAAATGGCCGTGCTTTGATTTCCGTTCTGTGGAGTACAGTTGCTGTATTTTGAGTATTTCGTTGCAAGGAGAAAAGCTGATAAGTGTTTACCCTGATTATTCAATGGCTAAAGATGTCAAGAATAATGAAATAAAGAAGGGGATAGGCTATGGCAGTCTCTAGCAGGAAAATGCATCTCATTAGAAAGCATTCCCACCAGAGAAGTCGATGATATTACATGCATGAATTCCTTTTTGTTGTTAAGTTGTTAACCAAGTTTTGGAAGCAAACAGCAAGCAGCCTAAATGACAGTGTACAATTGTATACAAACAGTAATTAATCGTTGCCTCCCTGAATGGAGCCTCTGTGATGCTGGAGGCAAAATCAAAGGGCCAGCTTGGTTTCCCGTGCCTGCCGAAGGCGTCGTGCTGTACAGCTGGGAACATTCATGCTATGAATATCACCTTGTAATGCATGTGGCAGGAGGCTGAGGGTAGCTGGCCTCAAAGGGCCTGGGTTTGTGCTCAGCAGAAGGGCTCGTAACCTCCCCTTTGGTGTTCAGTGATGGGGACACACTGTGCATGCTGCGATCCAAGGATCTTTCCATTAAGTTTCCTGGCAATTCTGGAAGGAAAAAGAAAAGCAGTTACACTCCACAAAATATTTGCATGCAGAGTTTATATATTTAAGGCTGTTTCTGAGAGTGTGTTTTTGAAATGGTGATGGTGTTTTCTGTAGGTGGACACATGCCTTAGAAGTTTGTTAAAGCTTTGGCATCAGCAACAAAGACCAAATATGTTGACAAGAGATGCAAGCCCTTCCTCTTCCCTGCCCCTCTGTCCCCCAGTACAGAGGGGGCTGAAATTAAAAGCGTTTTGACCCAGGCTGTGAGTTTTGAGGCACAGAAAGGGCTTGTGTCAGTATGAAGTACAAAGGTTGCCAGCAGAAAAGCAACCCATTACCAGCCATTCTTGCGGTGGTATCTGACCACACCACAACATTTCCTTGCACTTGGAAGGAGCGAAATTGCTTCCCAACAAGAGTGCTGTGTGGGAACTGCGGCGAAATATTGGTCATCTTGTACTAACAGTGAATGGGTCGCTGTCATCGACGGCGCGACTGTGGACTTGCGAGGGTTGCACTGAGATGCGTTATGGAGGACCAGGCTGGGAAGACCCTTAAGCGCTAAAGTGTGTTGTAGTGTATTATAAAACCTTCTAAAAAATATTGCGGTATCTGTGGTATATATGACAGTAATAGACCCCACACTGACAACTTGGCAATAACTATACGGCCAGCACATAAGCCTATCATTACAGAGTATTGGGACATTTTCTGCAATGGCAAAATGCACTTTCCTGTGCAGGCTCGGTTTCAGAGTGAACAAGAGCTCTCCGCATGGGGTATCTGTCTAGCAAAAAGAGATGAAATACAGGAGGGCTAAGGGACTCATGTAAATCGAATGATTCTATGATTTTAGGATATTTGTATGAAAATAAAACTGGGCTGCATTGTCACTTGATGTAAATTGTCCTATGGACACGGTACAATTTATATCAGATGAGATCTTATTTGTCTAACATACCCATGGTGTATGATAAAGGTAAAAATCACAATGGTTAGTTTTTCATTCACCCACTTCTCTTATTAGGCAGATGAAATATTGCTTTTTTTTCCTCCACATCCTTATCACGGTCTAGATTGCGAAGTAGATACTGATGGAGAATTGTAAGTCATATACTATATACAAAGTCATGTATTATTTGCAAAGTCATGTAATATATGACTTTGCGAGCAGTATTCTGTTCCTACGCTTATTTCCTTGCACCTCTTGCTTTATAAATATAATATTGACCAATGTTAATTGTACCGTGGCAGGTTTGATTGTCCGAGAGGTGAGCATTGAGATTTCCCGCCAGCAGGTGGAGGAGCTCTTCGGGCCCGAAGATTACTGGTGCCAGTGCGTTGCCTGGAGCTCTGCCGGCACTACCAAGAGCCGCAAAGCCTACGTTCGCATTGCCTGTGAGTAGCTCTGCCCTGCGCGTGTGGTCGGTGGCGGTCGGCTGAGGGAAAGCGCGATATCTGTTGTTTGGGAGAGCAGATTTGGGTCTGACCAGTTGGGCTTCGTATTTTCTGCATACTAAAATTCAGGCCTTCAGAAGCATACTTAAGAACTTCAGTTTATCCTAGTTTTAAGAGCAGAATTTCTTTCTTCTCCTTTGTGTGGGGAGGAGCAACAAAACCAGTATTTCATGAGTACATCTGAAGAAAAGTGTCTGAAGCCTAATGAGTAGGAATAGTATCAAAGCAAGCCATGAAATGAGGTGAGAACTGTTCTTTTATATCTGTGCAATCATGTAATAAAGCTGCTGTTGCTTAACAAAGGAAAAAGTGTGCTTAGCATATCACATAAATCCAACGGGTAATCCAAGATTGAAAGTCGTCATCTTAACCCTAATATTTCATCAATGTTATTCATTGTTGCTAACCCTAGTATTTATTTTGAACCCCTCCCAGCTTAGCCCCTAAAAAGACAGGGCAACCAATTCCCTGAAAACAGATCTTCGTTTGACTGTACAAATATTTAGTATTCATTAATTTTGAAAGAGGGGCTTTTCTTTGCAATAGAGGTGTCACACTGGGGACTCCTATTTCTCTTTTGCATGATGAAATCCTCTTTTATATAATGGGAACAAAATACGTCATCCAGAATTATGTCTTTTCCACTGTTTTCACCTCAGCAAGAACACGTTTTGTGAGGAAATCTCATTAGATTTGCAGCATACTTCTATTTCCTGCACAGGGCCTAACATGTTATAATGAGAGAAGAGAATTCTTCCAGCAAAATTAGGATTTTTCCCAGACACACTAGAGAAAGCACTGTCTGTCACTCAAAGCTGTCCATTTAGAGCTTGATTCTGCTTTTGTTCTTCATCAGTGAAAAGTTTCTTGGGGTGAAATCCTCTAAGCATAGTTGGCTTTTATGTAAGTACCCAGATACAAATCAAGGAGCTTAAATTTAAATACCCATTTTTTAACATTTCCAGACTAAGCAACTGGCTGGAAACAAAGTTGACCTGTACCTTTTGAGTACAGGACTAGCCTCAGAGAAGAATTTCCCCAGGGTACAGGGATATTTAAATTATTGTGCATACACAGACTTCCTGCAAAATCAGAAATGCCATTACATATATGCATAGTGTTTCCTCGTGCCAGGGAACCTTCCAAGACTTTGGGCATTTTCTTTTTCTGTACTGGAACAAAAGAGAGAGATTTCAATTTTTTTCTTGTAACTGTTAGCACTTCAGAGAGGCTTAACAATGCTTGAAGAGTTTTTTTAGATTATGAGCCCTATGTTAACTCATTAAGAAGATTTTCATGTCCTGCCAGTTAGCCCTTGTTAGATGATCATTAAATTAACTCAATTTAAAAGTCTGATTATATTTCACTTGAAGATGATGAAACGATATTAGATGGGTAACTAACTTTTGTGCACTGTCATACCTGTGTACTTTATTTATATATAACACATAATCAATGTTTGTGTATGTAAGCTATTTTATATCAATTGACATTTCTTTCAAGGTGTCTATTAATGCTGTTAACCTACATTTCTATTAAAGAGGCTAAGAATTTAGAATTTGCTTGTTTTTCTTACCGTGTTTTGGAGAGAGAGGAACCATCAGTTTAGTAATTTTTGTAGTGTCTTGGGGTTTTTCTAGAACAGTCTAATTAAAGAAATTCCAGAGAGTTTTATGTGTCTCTAACTCAAACATGGCTTTCTTTTTTAGTAAGCTTTTTATCTTTTCTTCCTGGATTTATCTTGTATTCCTTGGACAGCTGTGACACAGGCAAGTCATCTTGACTCCTTGGGAGTTGAAATGTTAGGCCTTCAAACTGCAAATTTTTAAACAGCAGCAGAAGCACATTTTCTGCAAAATCACCTATTTCCAATTCAGTAGTTTTCCATGAATTTCTCAGGTAATTCCGTACAATTTTTTGGAAGTCAGACATATGCTGTGGGGTATATACCTCATGCTGATGTCATTATAGTCCACAAAATCACTATTTTAAACTGTGCACTCAAATATACCAGGGTTCATCTATATAAGCCTTGATTTCGGAGAACTGAATCTGGATTGTCAATGAAATGACTGAGTCCATCTGCAAAGTCTGCTGAAGGTTGCATGATGTGCCTTTGATTTCCCATGTGACTGGGATGCAGGGTAGGTTTATGTGCAGTCTTCATTCGTCCAGAAAATCAAGGATGTCCAAAATTTAAGACAGGCAGGCAGCAGAAGAGTCCAGCTCTCCAGCTCTGTCTGCAGCTACAGTTGCATGTGTACGTCACCAGTGCAGTCTTTCCTTTAATAGAGACAAAAAGTGAACATTGATACTTACGGGAAAGGTGAGGAATGTGAGGAGCATGTAGAATGCTCCACTTAAGTTAAATTATATTTTAATAGCTGAACCTGATGATTTCATCTCAACTTGTTGTACGATAACTAGCCATTCCTGGCACATGAAGAAAAAGGCCTCCCTCCCTTCTCCTCTCCTCTCCTCTCCTCTCCTCTCCTCTCCTCTCTTGTCTCCTTTCTTCTTTTTCTTTCCCTTTCCCTTTCCTTCTTTTTTCTTGTTCTTTTTCTTTTCCTTTTTCCTTTTTCCTTTTTCTTTCTTTTCCTTTTCCATTTTCTTTCTTTTTCCTTCTTTCTTTCTCTTTCTCTTTCTCTCTCTTTCTCTTTCTCTTTCTCTTTTTCTTTTTCTTTTTCTTTTTCTTTTTCTTTTTCTTTTTCTTTTTCTTTTTCTTTTTCTTTTTCTTTTTCTTTTTCTTTTTCTTTTTCTTTTTCTTTTTCTTTTTCTTTTTCTTTTTCTTTTTCTTTTTCTTTTTCTTTTTCTTTTTCTTTTTCTTTTTCTTTTTCTTTTTCTTTTTCTTTTTCTTTTTCTTTTTCTTTTTCTTTTTCTTTTTCTTTTTCTTTTTCTTTTTCTTTTTCTTTTTCTTTTTCTTTTTCTTTTTCTTTTTCTTTTTCTTTTTCTTTTTCTTTTTCTTTTTCTTTTTCTTTTTCTTTTTCTTTTTCTTTTTCTTTTTCTTTTTCTTTTTCTTTTTCTTTTTCTTTTTCTTTTTCTTTTTCTTTTTCTTTTTCTTTTTCTTTTTCTTTTTCTTTTTCTTTTTCTTTTTCTTTTTCTTTTTCTTTTTCTTTTTCTTTTTCTTTTTCTTTTTCTTTTTCTTTTTCTTTTTCTTTTTCTTTTTCTTTTTCTTTTTCTTTTTTTTTCCTTCTTCCTATTCCTCTTACCCCATATGACCACTGGCATTATTGTAGAGTTACTGTGTGCTTTCAAGGACCAGAGCTGCACTCCATTAAAACAAACAGAAAAATAGCATTCAACATCTCTGTTCACTGAGCGTGTAATAGAATTAACTGAAAAGTAATTTGAAAGTGTGAAAAATGTGCATCCTGGAAAAGTGGCTTGTATTTGTTTAATGCAGGGTCAGGCGTGTGTCAGAGAGTACATAACAACCTGGTCAATGGAAGTTCGCTGTGAAAATCAATTGCGGCATCACTGCAGCCAAGTGGAGAGCTTCAGTTATGCAGGAAGGGAGTAATCTATAAATTAGGAGTGAAGATGCCTCTCTCTTTCAAAGGGTGCACATGCTGGCACTACATACAGGAAGAGAATCTGTCTGGAAAGCCAAGGTCCTGGCTTCTCAAAGTTTTAAGAGCATTTAACAGCCTCCAAGCACTGCACTCCTGGAAGACGTGTGCACCAGGAAATCGTTCCCTTCTGTGCTGGCTGTTTCTGAAAAGGGGTAGAAACAATAGGTGATAGAAACATCATTATTTTCTGCTTCTTTCATGTTTCATAGAATTCACTTTCTTGAGGGTTTGGTCTCCCCATGGGAACGAAGGTGAGCTTTTCATCCTCTTAAACTAGCAGATTTGTTGAATTCATTTTCACTCTGCCATTCTAGATATTTTAATAAGTTACAAAGTGGAAAACCAAATGTATACATTGGTGGAGCTGGAAAAATATAGTATAATTGTTTGAGACATGGGCCTATGAAAGTGCTAAAACACATTTGCTATTTATTCTCCCATTTCCTGTTTATTCTAGGTACATCCTACCCGGAGCACCAGGAGGCCTTAGTATGTTTTGATGCAGTTTTCCTGCTCAATTAGAAAAAAAAAAGTTTATTTTGCAGACAGAGGAAGCTGTGAGTTTACGTAGCTTTATCTCTAGCTGAAAAAAATCAAGCCTAATACAGAGTGTTAAAGTGAATTTTAAATCGGAATTTTGAATCAGAAGACTGATGTCATTCAACAGAAAAAACAGGGCAAAATTCCTGTTAAAAGGATGAATTGAGCCTGGGCCTGTGTAACCAAGAGTAGAGTAAAACCTGGTGGAAAAATACATCTGATAAAAGCTAAACAATAGCTGCAGGATTTGACCCAATTTTTAGATCAGATAATAAAGGGCTGGCTAAGACAAATTGCTTTGAGCCCCTGTGCACAAACGGCCTCACTTTTCATTTGCTCCAGTTCTCTGCTGCCGTAGCCTCACGGACTCTGTGCTGGGAACCCCATCTGTCCTTGAGAAAGTGCCATGAGAATACAGGCCCTAAATCTACTTTTAGGTTTTGGATTTGATGAGAATCTGTAAGAAAATAGCAGCTTTCTCTGTAATTTCTGTTGAATAATCTTTTCTGGTATAATGAATCTGGGTATCTTCTTCTTTTCCCTTTACTCATTATCTTAAAATAATTCTAAAAAATTCTGAAAAACCAGATATTTTCTTTTTCATTTAAAAAAGCCCCTGTTTGTAAGGAGTGTGTGGTTGTTAATCTTTTATATAATTTGATATTAGTTTCCTGTGTACTCATCTAAAAGACTTTTTCCTCAGACCCTTTTTCAAAGGAGTGGAGCTAATATATGCATGTCATATACTGTATACTGATAAGATAAATGTGGTACAGAAAAGCAGACTAGTTTACCTGATGGATTATCTCCACTTACATGGTGCATGCA